GGGGGGGGTCCCGCGGCCGCTGGCGCTGAGGGTCCCTGCAGGCAGCCCGCGGGCCTCGGCCTCGGCGCTGCACTTCCCGTCGGGGTCCCTCCTGCCCCAGTCGAGCCCCTACTTCGCCCACCCCACCATCCGCTACCACCACGGGCAGGACTCGCTCAAGGACTTCGTGCAGTTCGTCTGCGCCGACGGCGCCGCCCCGGGCCCCCAGGTGCGGCGGGGACACGGGCGGGGGGCGCGGGGGCGGCCCCGGGGGGCGCGGGGGCGCGCGGGGACAGCGGGACCCCCGCCCCGGCCACGCCCCGCTGGATGCAAATGAGGCCGAGGAGGCGGGGCGTGTATGCAGATGAGGGCGAGGTGACGCGCGTTATGCAAATGAGGAGAGATGGGGCGTGGTTTGTATGCAAATGTAGCGCGAAAGGGGCGGGGTCTGTATGCAAATGAGCCCAGGCGGCGGCGGGGGCAGGAGGGGGTGACGGGGACCCCCCAAAATCCGCCCTGGGGACCCCCAGCCTACTTCGCCCACCCCACCATCCGCTACCACCACGGGCAGGACTCGCTCAAGGACTTCGTGCAGTTCGTCTGCGCCGACGGCGCCGCCCCGGGCCCCCAGGTGCGGCGGGGACACGGGCGGGGGGCGCGGGGGCGGCCCCGGGGGGCGCGGGGGCGCGCGGGGACAGCGGGACCCCCGCCCCGGCCACGCCCCGCTGGATGCAAATGAGGCCGAGGAGGCGGGGCGTGTATGCAGATGAGGGCGAGGCGACGCGCGTTATGCAAATGAGGAGAGATGGGGCGTGGTTTGTATGCAAATGTAGCGCGAAAGGGGCGGGGTCTGTATGCAAATGAGCCCAGGCGGCGGCGGGGACAGGAGGGGGTGACGGGGACCCCCCAAAATCCGCTCTGGGGACCCCCAGAATGGGGAACCCCCCACCTGGGGACCCCCGCACAAACCTGAGGACCCCCCTACAAACCGGAGGACCCCCCCCCCACAGATCTGGGGACCCCCGTACAGACCTGGGGACCCCCAGAACGGGGAACCCCCCCACCTGAGGACCCCCCCCTAGATCTGGGGACCCTCCCAAAGCCCTGCGGACCCCACGCGTGGGGG